GAGAGAGAGAGAGAAGGTAAGCGAGGAGATAGGTAGTTTGGCAGTAGGCTGATGGTAGAGACACGGCACGTCTAATATTAACGAACAAAAAAAATAATTAAAAAAGTAAAGTATAAAATATCATAAACGCGAAAAAGGTACAGTAGTGGTTTACTATTGGCTGACACGTAGTGTGAATGCTGACATAGGAGAAGCATGCTGGCGAAGGAGAGCTTTTGTCGATTTTTCCGTGACGGGGTTGGATGGGACGGGACGGGAATGGGAATGGAACAGGGTGATATACGAATCGCGGGATACGCGGGGAGGGTGAGTTTTGGGAGCGCGTGTTATAAATCGGCTTGTCCGGGATATGCTGATAGAGAAAGCGAAGATAAGGGTTTCTTTCCGCACTATTTTGCCCATTACGTTGATTAATTCCCCGGTTCGTTGACATCGACATACGTTTGCAAGCTCGATATTTTCACTTTCCTGGACTTGAAATATTTGTTTTCTTTTTTTTACGTTTGATCATCGACATTTGTCGCGCGGTTACCGGTTGCGCAACATTTGTCTTTGTATTTGCTATACTTTTACACTTGACGTGACGCAACGTTGGCATTTTTCCCGTCTAAAAGTTTCATGCTTGCGCGAAATAAGAATAAAAATATTAGCAGCGAGTCGACGAGCTTGCGGAGAAACGGCGCGGATGGGGTCGGTGAGAGATGAGAAAACGCGAGATGCTGCCAGAGAGGAAGAAAGAGAAAGAGAGAGAGAAAGAGGGAGAATGAGAGAGCAAGATTGAGGGAATGAAAAATTAGAAGGAATGGTGGCGAAGTCTTGCGTGCGATAGGATTAGGCGGGAGTGCGACAGGGCGAGAGAGGGGAATCTGATCGAGTGAGAGAGAGAAAGAGAAAGAAGAGAGAATGCGGAGGAACGATTGTAGATTCGGAAAGTCACTTAGCCAGCAGACTGCTGTTCATAGTGCCCTGTTATAGTGGGTTCCCTAGGCAGAGTGGCAGAGACGCGATTAAAAAAAAAAAAAAAGGAAAAAAAATATATGAAAAAAAAAAGGAAAGGTCGAACAGACACTATGAAGATCAGATAGTAAAGGGAGAGGAAGAGAGGACAAGCTAACAGTTTAGGTAAGAAATGGCGCGATTTAGTTTTACCGTTAAACAACCAGAATTTGCATCTGAAAGACGACCGATAATATACTTGTACGGATCCTCGATCTGCGAGATAGTCGGAAAGCTGCCTGAGATCGTTATAAATCGTCGACAGCGATGAGACTACGACTTTTGTGCGAACGACGTGTCGAACGCGAACGTTCGTCGAGACTCCCTCGTCGAGAGTCTCATTATCGCTCGATTGTCTTCGGAACGTCCGACTCATGTCACCTCGAAGCCATACGAGTATGCTCCTGGCGATGAAATGCGATCTGTCTTCGCAAAAAATGTTTCTTTTTTTTTTTTTTTTTTTTGATACTGTCATGTAAAAACAGACGACGATTACGTCGTGCGAAAAGAGATAGTTCAACGTCGCTGGATTCTTAACAGCGCGATACTCTGTGACCGTTTCGAGTCCTGGCGGCGTAATCGGAAACGATGTAGACGAGAAGATCCATTCGTACGGGCTTTGCGAGCTCCCGTCGAGATCTACATTCTCGAGATATCCTCGTCCAATTTATTGGGTTCCCGGGCCCCCGTGGAGAATTTTAAAGCGCGATGAATAGCGAGAAGAGAGAAAGGGAGATTTGCGAAACGAAAGGCGAGAGAAAATTGTCTAGAGGAAACGAGGCACTCCGCCCTCTGCCCACGGGACCCTAATCTATTTTTCAGAATACGCTATTGTGATTATTACTATATGATAACAATTTAAAAAACTAAAACGACAAAAATACCTTGTATCATTGTTTATTATACGAATTCCGACGATTATATTATTTATAATGTTAATAATCTATATTAACGATATAATTACCGCCATTATACCATTATTATATTTAGTACTATTAGAGAGTGAGGCTGCTACGCTGTATTAATGAATTAAGTAACTAAAGAATTAAGTGACTCATCCTCACTTTTTTTAGACTTTACATATAAATATATATAAACACACGTAAAAAGACTAAACGCACTTCTCTCACGTTACTGCGTTCGCATCGATGATTTACACATTTCGTTCCAAACGTTCGATCACTTTTCTTTCCTGGGCGCTACTCAGTCGACGTTTCTGCTTTCGTTGAACCTGTTTGCATTCGACGACTACGTTATTTTATATATCATAATAGGTATAGACTGTACCATGAAATATTAAGTAAAAATAAATTTGATTAGGTAATACGCCACCCCTTTCTCATCAAGAATTCTATCCATGTTAGCATGCATCCCTCTTTTCACTTCCCATCATTAACATTTCTTAGATAAGTGAAAAAATTTTGTATGTGAAGATCTTTTTCTCATCCTTTTATTTTTTTTCACATTTTTATTCATTGGCAAATTTAATTATCAATGACTTTATTTATAACATAAAATCGTTAAATAAATTTGAAGTGACGTGGCGTTTCTTATCCGTAATAAATTTTTATGCGTATAAAATCAAATAGAATTATTAAAATTAAAAACAAAATTAAAGTCTGGAAGCATAAGATAATTTCTATTTTTTTTTATTTTATTGTTGATCATAAAAGGATAAAAAGTGAATTGTGGGACAAATGGTGGATGCGAAGGGCAAATTGCAGCATATTTGTTTTATTATCTTTATTTAATTGTAGCACATACTATTTCCAAAAATTCATAAGTACGACGTAGATAAAAAAGTACAAATATTTACAAAATATTGTAAAAAAGAAATCGATTTGGAACGCCTAAGGATATGAACGTTATTTCAAATGAGCTTCCCGTACGCTGTTCACTCTGTCATCGTATATGACTAGACATATTGGACATAATAGGTAGCTTTCACGAAACTCGCCGGCACAGCGATCGGTGTGCCTTGTTGCTTTCTTTATGGCAGTGGTGATAATCCATGATTAATATCTGAGCGAATGATATGAGCACACAGGACTTGGATAATTGGCCTTAACTTTACGTACTCGTAAACTGCGGGGTTAGAGATCGCTGTAACGTACATTCTTAACGTAGTTTATGTTACAAGCAGTGATGAGTCGTAGACAGATACGGAATCCATGCTTTTTTCACGCGCGTTTCTCGGATGAATTTAACATTATTTCAACAAAATTGTCGAATTACTTCGAATTCGCATCGCTGTTGAACGCTACGACGAATTGCGAAAATATTAGACATATTTCCAATCCCCGTCGATATTTTCATACGAACGAGTTTTAACATTTCTCTGCGTCAAGAGACTCTCTTCTTGAGATAAATTTTGTGAAATGTTCGTAAAAATCCGCAAATTGTGTGAAATCCACCTCGGATTTCATACTACTGAATACGCTCGCCATCACTGATCACAAGGATATTTCTTGACGTATATAGCGAACATTTAGGAAGCATTATAAAATTCGCTCGTAGAGACGCCACGAGCTCGAGTGATTCGTTACTTTGAAAGATTATTCATTTCGTGCTTTTACATATCCTTAATTAGAGCGCTCACGAATACACGATGATGCTCTCGCAGGCAAAGTGCCTTCGCGGTGCCTCCGCCTCATGCTTTTTCCGGTACGACGAGAGTGCGTTAAATTAGAGAACAATCGCATTTATCATTGGCAGTGTTATACATCAGTGCTTCGTACATCTACTAATATGCGTATATAATACATCATATTTATATTAGCATGCACAGAGCCGAACACTCATTATTTCTATCTAATTTTTTCCGAGATGAAATTTCTGAAACAATTTTAGACAGCTAGCCAATGGCAAACAGATAAAGTCAAATCGGTCTCATTGAATCGATTTGCTTTTTTTCTTTCTATTAATTCCGCATTCAATTCTTTTTGTTATTCGAAACACGTATTAAATTAACAAAATACGGGGGGATCGATTTTATTGACTGTTTGTAAAAGTTTTAGTCTTTTTTTTTCATCGCACGCTGTGATACAATTATTTAAAATTCCATTTCCATGGATTTTTAAAAAAGGCATCAAAATCTATGAAATATTATATCATTATTACTAATATCGCAAAAATTGAAATCCGATTTGCATTATTTATTGAAAATCCGTCGCAAATATAAGAGAAACAGAACAGAACAGTTTGATTTTACGTTATAAAAAATATATATAATATTGCAGAAAATAAAAAAAATTTGTTTCGACAAGATTAAAAACTTTTTATACACACGCAATATAAATATATATATATATATATATATATATATA